TATATATATATATATATATAAAGAATCTATTTATTTTAGAAATAAATTTATCTAAATTTATTTCATTTAATAATTTATGTTATATATCAAAATTTTTAATGATCTAATTATTAAATTTAAAATTCTTAATATATAAATCAACTTTACCAATTTTTAAAAACTTTTAAAATTATTTAATATTTTATTTTATTAATTCAAAATGATGAATAATCAAAATTATTTTATACATTGATTTTATTTAAAAGTTTTGAATTGACAAAGTTGAATGTACTAAATATAAAAAAGTTAGAATAAAATAAAATTAGAATTAAATTAATTGCATTGACTTTATTTAAAAAATGAAAAATGAACAGTAGTTGTATTATTTAATAAAATTGAGAGATTAAATTGTATAAATGAAATAAAAATTTAAATTATAATATTGTTTTTTTTTAAATTATAATATCACTTTAACCATAATTTTTAGGATGTACAATATAAATATCTCAACTTATATAAAATTTTATCATAACAAAGAAATTAAATATTATACTACACACGTTATCAAAATAATTAAACATAAATTACATAATCTCCCAGGTGAGGTACCTAACTGTTTAATTACATAATCTCCCATGTCATCCTCTCGGGTACTAGCTTCTTAAACATAATCTCACACGTCATCACCCCCACCCCAACACACATTAAAGTACTTGGAAATTTGTTTTATAAGGTTTCTTCAATTCTTTTAAACCCTTTTTGAAAAAAAAAATAATAATTAAGAAAATACAAGCATATTAAAAATGGACCACAAGTCAATTGTGTTAGTTACGTGGCTTACGCAATCGCTTACATAATATTTTTTCAACTTTCGTGAATCTTCTTGACAGGGAAAGCTTCCTTTATTCATACTTCATATTGTTCTAGATCCTTCCTCACCTGTAACGTTCCGCACCGCATTCTGCATTCATATTCATATGCATTGATCAACCAAGTACGCGGCACCGTCTAGTCGTCTACATTAAATGAAATTAATACACCCCATCAAATTACCATTTTTCTTCTTACTGTCCCCACATGTACCTATGATATGAAATGAATACTATTATATATTTTTTTAGTTCAACACGTATACCCTGATCATTAATCCTGACTCTATAAAAAGAGAAGACCTTAGACAGTAGAAATCCATCACAAACAAAGAAATAAGGAACCGGCTATAGTTAATTGTTTGATTTGAAGTGCTACAAACAATGGCCACAAATCAGGAAGAGGTGTCACTTTTGGGAGTAACTGGAAGCCCATTTGTGTGCAGGGTTCAGATTGCTCTCAAGTTGAAGGACATTGAGTACAAATTTTTGGAAGAAAATTTGGGCAACAAGAGTGAGTTGCTCCTCAAATACAACCCAGTTCACAAGAAGGTTCCAGTGTTTGTTCACAATGAGAAGCCCATAGCAGAGTCTCTTGTGATCGTTGAATACATTGATGAGACATGGAACCAAAATCCCATCTTGCCTTCAGATCCTTACCAAAGGGCCTTGGCTCGTTTCTGGTCCAAATTCATAGATGACAAGGTAACCCATCTTTTCTTCTTTTCTTGCTTTGTGCTCATTTATCACCAAATTGAAATCTTGGAATGTTAGAGAATTCAATAGTCAACTGTCAATTACCGTGAATGTTTTTAAGAATAATTTTCATTCTATCAACTTTGTCTAACAATTATCATGATTTGAAACTCATGAAATTGTATAGGGTTTTAGTGGGATTTTAAATTTTGGGATAGGGGAAATTGAGTGTTTCTTGTTTATTAGACCATAATTTAATTACTTGTGTTTTAAACAAATAATTTCCTACCAGATACATCATTCAAATAACATGTAAACATGATAACATAGGATATAGGTTAATCCGGAATTAATCTGTGTCATATTGCTTCTATGTAACTCTATCTAAATTCTGTTTGCGCTAATTATCCTATAAAGCAATCACTAATAGATACTCTGATTTGTGAAATTAGGTTGTGAGTGCTGCATGGAAAGCTGTTTTCACGGTTGATGAGAAAGAGCGTGAGAAGAATAGTGAAGAATCATGGGAGGCACTGCAGTTTCTTGAGAATGAGATAAAGGACAAAAAGTTCCTTGGAGGAGAGGAAATAGGGTTGGTAGATATTGCTGCTGTTTTCATTGCCTTTTGGATCCCAATTTTCCAAGAAGTAGGAGGGTTGGAGTTGTTCACAAGTGACAAATTTCCCAAACTCTACAAATGGAGCCAAGAATTAATCAACCACTCTGTTGTGAAAGAAGTGCTTCCTCCTAGAGACCCACTTTTTGCCTACTTCAAAGCCCGCTATGAAAGCCTTAGTGCCTCAAAATAGATTGTTTCATAAGGATAGTTGTGAGAAGCACTAGTGTCTCATTGAGTTGTTGCTGTTTTGAGTTTCTTTTCAATTTGATTATTACATTACATGTGATGTGATATATCATACCTTGCAATATTTTCCATATTCCAATGAAAAAACAAATAAAGAAATCCTAGGATCTTGTTTGTCTCCATTTTCTCTACTTTATTAATAAGAAAACCAATTTACTCTTTTTTTAATGTGTATTTTGCACCTATTATTATTTAAAGTTCTCTTTATTTTATTTTATTTTATTATCTATCACTATTAAAGCCATAGTAATAGGATTTCAATCTGGACTCTTTAATATTACTTCAACCTATACCCACTTGGCCCTCTATTTTTTAAATTCACACAGAATCTATTTTTTAAATTACTTAATGAGTAAAACGAAAAAGAAAAATAACAACAAAAATTAATTGCAAAGATACTAACTTATTTTTAACAGACTCTTATTGGATAAAATTTATATAAATTTCAATAAATATACAAAAAGAATTTTTGTACAAATATTGGATGGTGATCAGATGGATATGGTGAATACTACTCTGATTTTCACGACTACTAAAATATATAAGTCTTTAATTTCATTTAATAAATCTCATTATTAAATTAATAAGAATTACAATAAAATAACATATTAAATATAAAGTATTAAAATATATTATTAATACTTTCATCATCTCAATATTCTCTCTTTAGATCTTATTTATAAGTGGAGTATTTATAACTCAAACCCTTTTCATTGACCTGCTCCGACTCAAAAGAAACTTTTGACATGTTCATATTTAACAAATCAGTGATTTAGGTTATTCTTGAAAATGTCTCAACCCAATCTAATGCAATGTATTTAATATTTTTTTAAATATTTTATATTATTAACATTATTCCTCCACATAATAAATAATATTTTATCTAACATAATATTATATTAATATTATTTATCTTAAAATATACATTATAATAATTGTAATTCTATATTTTGATTTTATAATTCATATATATAATGTCAAAATTAATATATTATATTAACAAGTCAAGTTGATGTAATGTTTTATCATGTTAAATATTAATTAAGTTGGGTTAGAGTTACAAAATTGATTTTATAAAATTTTTAGGTTGGAAAAGATCACAAAGCATCTCGTCCCAATAATATTCCTAGACGTAAGGGTGTTGAAGTTTTGTTATCATTATATATCCTTTTAAATATGTAGTCCTCATATTTTTATTTGGATGATTTTTTTTATATATATTTGGGAAGTATAATTCTTTTTTGTTAGGTTAGTCCATTTTAAAAATATAATAATAACTTCAGTTGTAACTCTATCTAAAATATAAATCAAACATTAATATTTAATTAAGAAATATAAATATTAAATTATTTGTATTAGTGACTTTCTATTATTTTTATTTATAATTATTTTTTTGCTTAATAAAGATGTATAAATTCTTTTTACTAAGTGAATCTTTATAAAAATAAAATAATACATCTATTCAGAACTTCATATTTAAGTTAAAAATTAAATTTCATCTAAAATTAACATATACATATGTGAAATCACTTATACAGGATAAAAGAATTGAGTCAAAATTAGGTATGATAATCTAACCCACTCCTTGAGTACCTGTCCTAATTTAGACGGGAAAAATTCATATTTATTGGATTCGAGTTCGAGTTTTCACCCGATTGATAAAATCGGGGGCGAGAATGTTAATACTCGCCCCGGCCCGTCCCTGTACCCGCCCCCGCCCCGCTTAATAATATAATTAAAAAATTATTTATATATATAAATCAAAATTAAAAATATTTATATGTAAAAATTTGTATTATTTTA